ACTCATATTTTTTTATCATTTTTATCTGTTTCTATCCGTTAGCAAATTATTTCACAGTCCAAAATTCATAATTTCATTAGCTATAACCAATGATTTCAAGCTATTTTATTATTTTCGATCTATTGGCAAATAATGTTGCAGAGTTAAAAATTCACGATTTCATAAGCTACATTTCATGATTTTTGCTTATTTTTAATCATTTTGATCAATAGTCAAATAATTTCATGGAGTTTAAAATTCATGATTCCATGAGTTATAACACATAAATTGTCCATTTTTTTTATTTACACCAAGGGAAAGAAATTTTGTACAGTTCTAAATTCACGATTTTATAAGCTATAACTTATAATTTTTAGCCATTTTTAGTTGTTCCCACCCATTGACAAACTTTTGTGGATACATAAATTCATGATTTTATGAGATATAACCAACGATTTTTAGCCATTTTATTTGTTTCGAACCATTAGCAAAAAAATTTGTAGTCTAAAATTTGCGATTTAATAAGCTATCTACAACCCACGACTTTTGGCCATTACGAGTGGTTTCTACCCATCGACAAATAATTTTGCGGAGTCCAAAATTCACAATTTATAACCATTAATCCAAGATTTTTAGCCATTTTTAGTTATAACGACCCAATGGTATATAATTTCGCGGAGTCAAAAATTTACGATTTCATGAACTATAACCCACGATTTTTATCCATTTTTAATTCTTGCAACATATCCGCAAATAATTTCACAAAGTCCAAAATTAGCTATTTCACAAGCTATTACCCACTATTTTGGCCATTTTTAGTCGTTCTGGCCAATTATCAATTAATTCTGCGGATGCTAATATTCATGATTTCATAAGCCGTAACTCACGAATTTTTGGTCATTTTTATTCATTTTAACCCACTAGCAACTAATTTCACGGAGTCCAAAATTCACGATTTCAGAAGCCATAACCCACATTATTTTGGCCACTTTATTAGTTTCTACAAGTTAGCAAATACTTTTGCAAAGTCCAAAATTCATGATTTTATGAGTTATGACTCACATGTTTAACCATTTTAATTCGTCTCGACCCATCAGTAAATAATTTCATAGAATCCAATATTAACGATATCACCCATATTTTTTGGTCATTTTAGTCATTCTCGTGTAGGCCAAATTTCATAATTTTATGAACTATAATTCACATTTTTATCATTTTTATTTATTTCACCCCATTAGTAAATAATTTTGCAGAGTTCAGAATTCATCATTTCATGACCTATAACCCACAACTTGTCCATTTTCATTCACTTTGACCCAAGGGAAAAATTCGCAGCCAAAAATTAACCCATAACTTTTGGCTATTTTATTCATTTCGACCCATTGACAAATAATTTTATTGGTTTTGACTCATCAACAAATAATCTTATGGAGTCTAAAATTCACGAGTTCATTAATTATAACATATGATTTTTGGGCATGTTTATTTGTTTCATCGCATTAGTAAATAATTCTGCGGGTCGAAAATTTACAATTTCATGAAATATTACCCATAATTTTTTTACCCTTTATTATTGTTTCGAACCACAGTAAAATACTTGTGTAATCCAGAATTTACCATTTCATGAGCTATAACACACGATTTTTTACCCTTCATTAATTTCGAACCAAGAGAACGAATTTTACTTAGTAAAAATTTACGATTTTATTAGCTATAACCCATAATTTTTATCATTTTATTCGTTTTGACCCATTGGGAAACAATTTCGTGAAATCCAACACAATTTCATCAGCAATTACCTACGATTTTTCACTAGATTTAGTCATCTCAACCTATTCACAACAAACTTCGCAGAGTACAAAATTCACGACTTAATGAGCTATAACCCTAAATTTTTGGCTATTTTAATTTATTTCAAGTCATTAGAAATAATTTTGCGGAGTCCCAAATTTACGATTTAATGAGCTACAATTCACGAGTTTTTGCCATTTTTAGTCGTTTCTACCCATCGATAAATAATTCCGCAGAGTCCAAAATTCATGATTTCATGAGCTTTACCGAAAATTTTTAGCCATTTTATTCATTTCTAATAATTGATAAATAATTTTGCGAAGTCCAAAATTCAAGATTTCATGAGGGATAATAACACAATGTTGTCATTTCGACTCATTGACAAATAATTTCACATAGGCCAAAATTCATGATTTCATAAGTCATAACACACGATTTTTGCTCATTTTTATTTATTTCAACCCATTAAAAAATAATTTCGTGGAGTCCAAAATTCATGATTTCACGAGCTACGACTCACATTTTTTGGCCATTTTTAATCATTTCTTTCGATTGAACAAAATTTTAACGGAGTCCAATTTTTATGAGCTATAATCCACGACATTTTGCCATTTTTATTCATTGTGACCTCCACTGTTTTAAAAAACCTCCGCCTAGTCCGCTTAGGCGTACGCTTAAATCTAGACGGTACCTAGTCCGTCTAACTAACGCCTAGCGCTTAGGCGGTATTTAGACTGTCTACCTAGATTTTAAGAGCGTTTAGGGGAGCATTGTCTGCTTACGTGGATTGTATCCTGTAGGTCTTGATTGTGATTTTATGTATCGTAGCCTACACGTCCTCCAAACTCTATTAACCTCCAAATATGAACCTCCACTATCTTCTCCGACCTTCAGCAAAACCTCATCGACCACCACTTAAATGAAGAAAGAAAAAAACGCCCAGAAACTGCTTAGGCGCCCGTCTGGACGACTAAGCGCTAGGCGGCAAATCCGACGCCTAGAAACGCCTAGCGTTTAATGTAACATTCCTAGAAACGCCTATTGGTAAATAATTTTGTGGAGTTTGAAATTCATGGTATCATGAGCTATTAACCACTATTTTTTGCCACTTTTATCATTCTGACATATTGGTAATAATTTCGCATAGACCAAAATTCATGATATCATGAGCTATAACTAACAATTTTTTATCATTTTTATTTATTTCAACCTATTAGCATATAAATTCGCGGAGCTGGAATTCACGTTTTCGGGAGTTATAATCACAATTTTTGCCCTTTTTAGTCATTTTGACACAATGACAAATGATTTCGTGGGTGATAAAATTTAAAATTTTATCAGTTATAACCCATAATTTTTTGCCATTTTTAGTTATTTTGACTCATTATCACACGATTTCATAAGCTATAATCCACGATTTTTGACTATTTTTAGTCACTTCGAACCACTGTCAAATAATTTCGCCATGTCAAAATTCACGATTTCATGAGCTATAATCAACGATTTTTTACCACTTTTAGTCATTCCAACCGATTAGCAAAAAACTTTGCGAAGTCCAAAATTCATCATTTCATGAGTTATATAACCCATAATTTTTTACCATTTCTATTCGATTAGACCCACTGGCAAATAATTTTGCGAAATCCTAAATTCAGGATTTTCAAGAGATATAACCCATAATTTTTAGCCATTTTTATTCATTTTATCTCATATGTAAATAATTTCGCATAGTCCAAAATTCACGACCCACGATTTTTTACCATTTTTATTAATTTCGACGCATTAGCAAATAACTTCACATAGTCTAAAATTCACCATTTCATGAGCTATAACCCATAATTTGTCCTTTTTTCAATTCAGCTCAAAAGAAAATAATTTCGCGAAGAAAAAATTCACCATTTCATTAACTATAACTAACGATATTTGGCCATTATATACATTTCAACCCATTAGCAGATAATTTCGTGAAGTCCAAAATTTATGAGTTCATAAGCTATGACCCGTGATTTTTTATCATTTTTGTTTATTTCGATCCATTGGTAAAAAACTTTAAGGAGTTCTAAATTCATGATTTCATGAATTACAACCAATGATTTTTGGCAAGCAAATAATATCATTGAGTTCAAAATTAACAATTCATGAGCTATAACCATGATTGTTTGCTATTTTTATTCGTTTCGACCCATTGGTAAATTATTTCGTGGAGTCCAAAATTCATAATTTCATGAGCTATTACATACGATTATCGGATATTTTTAGTCATTTCTATCCAGTGACAAATAATTTTGCATGGTATAAAATTCACAATTTTATTAGTAATAATCCATGATTTTTGGCCATTTTTAGTTTCCACCCATTGGCGAATAATTTTGTAAAGTACAAAATTCACAATTTCACGAGCTATAACCCACGATATTTGGCCAATTTCAGTCATTCTGACCCATTGGCAAGCAAATTCGCGGAGGATAAAATTCATGATTTTATGAGCTATAACCTACGACTTTTTGCCATTTTTATCTATTTCGACTCAATTGCAAATAATTACGCCGAGTCCAAAATTTATGATTTTATGAGCTATAGCTCACGATTGTTTGCCATTTCTAGACGTTTCTATCCATTAGCAAACAATTATACACACACACACGGAATCCAAAATTGACGATTTTATGAGCTATTACCCATTATTTTGATTTTATGAGTTATTACCCATGATTTTTTGCCATTATTTATTTGTTTCAATCCATTGACAAATAATTTTCTCGGAGTCCAAAATTCGTGAATTCATGAATTATAACCCACTATTTTTAGCCATTTTTATTTGCTCTGACCTATTAGCAAATAATTTCGCGGAGGCCAAATTTTATGATTTCATGAGCTATAACTCAATTTAATTGGTTGTATTGAATTTGTGGGTAGACATATTATTCAAAAATGATTGTATTAGAAACTTGTCTACCACGAAGGATCTTAAAAATCAGAACATTGATGTTCAAAAAAGTATAAGATTATTTACCCATAATTGGCAAGTATCATGACATAAGAGTCCCTTCCTTGTACAAGTGAAGATAAATTGTGTATATAGAGAATAAGAGTGGCAGAGTGAATCAGGTTTGCCTTGGGTGATTGCTCAATTTTTACTCAGCTAAAAAAGTTATTTTCACGATTATACTCATGTATGTAAAATTTATCAGTCGAAAGTAATGTACATGTGTGTGAAAAAAAAAACTTACCTGTTTCACCACTGGGGAGAAATTACCCATTGAATCCACAACGAGGCGAGAAGATAAAACATCTCCATCACTCAATTTCAATACCTGAAGGGCATGCACAAAAAAGGCATTGATTAACTAAAATATTGTAAGGCTTGTAATATTCAAGGAAAGACAAATAAAAACTTAAATTTAATCAATTGACAAGGACATCACATGCAATTTAAAAAATCATCATCATCATCATCTGAGCCTTTTCTTATCTGAATGGGATTGGTTGTGGAGTAGAAAGCTCCAATAAAAACTTACAAAGATATCACAACTTGTTGTCAATCTGATATTAACCTTCTAAATAGTCTCAAATTCCTTAAGAAACAATGGACGGTAGAGGCATTTGTGATAATCATATAAGACAACCAATCAAATAGGAAAACCTACTTACCAGTTTGCACATTGCACCGTTTGCTCATACAAGAAAGGATCAATCATCTAAAACTTTCAGATTATATTAGGTATATCAATGATTAACATAAACATGAAGATATCATTCTTTATTCCATGGAAGGCTCATGTTCTTTATGCCCAAAAACTAGCATACTACGCAACGTCCCAAGATTCTTAAAAAAGGTTTCATTCCACACTCTTTAACTTCTTTCCATAGGGTCAAAATAAAATTCTGACCGAATGCATCAAAACATTACAAGAGTCCATTTTGTTACACTATGACATTCCAGTTAATGCAAACATGTCGAAGGAAAGCTGTCAATCTGCCACACTATAACCATCGTTACTAGGTTTAGGTCTCACAATTATCAACACTATTCTAAATTGGAGATTAGTGTTATCGCTATACAATATAAACAGGGACAGGATCATATTCCAGAGTGAGGAGGCTTACATTTTACAAAAATAATGTCATCTGGAACCAAAATCCAGGGCCGGTCCTGACCCTAAGCGGGTCAGGCGGCCGCCTAGGGCCCCCAAAAACCTAGGGCCCCTGAGCATCATTAAGATATGCTTAAGCCTATTAGTAAAAGCTCCCTGAGCATACGCAGATTTGAGGAGAAGGCTCTTCGTTCATAGGCTGTTGGGATCTCTTTTCTTTTCATAAGTCTTTCATGGCCATGAAAATAGATATGAAAATAGATAGAGGTTGACAGAGAGGACAACTGTTACATCAGTCATTTCATATTACAGTACTAGCTCTGTACTAGCATTCAAAGATCAAACCCATGCAATCAGAGGTCATGCATATTGATGTTGCTATAGACCTTTTAAGAGGGCGCATTTCTTTTTTTGAAAGCTATAGAGAAAATGGATTTGAAGCAGCTATGGTTGAGGCTAAAGAAATTGCTCATTTCTTTTTTTGAAAGCTATAGAGAAAATGGATTTGAAGCAGCTATGGTTGAGGCTAAAGAAATTGCAGTTAGAATGAAAGTTGAACCCGGATTTGAAGCAGCTATGGTTGAGGCTAAAGAAATTGCAGTTAGAATGAAAGTTGAACCCATTTTTCGTGTACGTCACATCATTCGTAGAAAGAAACATTTTGATGAAAATGCTAGTAAAGAGATGACAATGACAGCTGAAGAATCCTTTAGAGTCAATTACTTCATATATATCGTGGATCAAGCTCTTTCTTCACTCAATAGTAGATTTGAACAGTTTCAACAGTATGATGAACCTTTTGTTTTCTTGTTTAATTTGGAGAGGTTGAAATCTACAGATAATGATAGTTTGAAGTGCTCATGTCTTAACCTTGAAGATCTCCTAAAGCATGACAAAAAATTTGATATTAATGGGACAAAATTATTTTCAGAACTCCAAATCTTAAGAGAAGCATTACCAAGAGGAACAAAAAAAGCAATTGAAGTATTGAATTTTATGGAAAGGCTAAATTATTGTTTTCTAAATGCTTGGATTGCTTATAGAGTATTATTGACAATACCAGTTACAGTTGCATCGGCCGAGATAAGCTTTTCAAAGTTGAAGCTCATCAAATCTTATCTATGGTCAACAATGTCACAAGAGAGATTGAATGGATTGGCTATGATATCTATCGGGAAAAAAAATATTAGAGAAGCTTGATTAGAATAGTTTAATTGATAATTTTGCAGCTCAAAATGCAAGGTGATCCCATTTAATATAGTATGAATTGTGTTATTTATAAAGCATCATGAAGTTTTTTGATTTTAATATTAATACGATTATGTGCGAATTGTGTTATTTATAAAGCATCATGAAGTTTTTTGATTTTAATATTAATACGATTATGTGCTTATTGTCTCATTTTAATAAAAAATATTTTGCATATTAATACGATTATGTGCTTATTGTCTCATTTTAATAAAAAATATTTTGCTATCTTATAAAAAAAATTGTGTATGAAATATTGTATTTAGAGACCCCTCATTTGAAAGCTTGATTAGGGCCTCGTAAAAAATTAAGAATATCAGGGCCGGCCCTGCCAAAATCAATGCTAAGGTTATTTCAAGCATGATGACATATGGTACATGTTTCACTAGAAGGATACTGAGAAGAAGCATAACATAAACAGCTGTCAGTTAAAAGGAAGATATTTGAAACACGCGCACAAGGCACAACAGACAGATATTAAAAAGATATCATAGGTATTAAGCAGCACAATATAGCAAGATAACTACATCAATTACAAAATAGGACAACAAGCATTGATGCATCATCAGCATTAGACTTACAGCTGCATCATCGTAAATGGATATACTGGACAAACACTTGCTTTCAAAAACAGATCCGCCTAAGGAGACAAACCGTTTCTTCACAATCTCAAGAAGTTTGGCTGGCCTGCAGAAGCAAAATAGAAGATACATCAATTTGGTCATTTGTGTGTAATGACTGGTTTTTGTTTCTACTGTCATAGGCTACAAGAAACAGAACTAAAGGCCAACTTCACGACTGCAGTTCCTTTTACAGATGTCAATCATGGAAAACGTATGTTGATTAATTTTTTCCAGCGCTATGGTTGAATGGTTGGTCTAACCAATTTCCCTTCACAGTCCATTCTTGGATGTTACTTTCTAACAAGCTAGGATGCTGTCATAAGCTAGTGGTTAATGAACTGGGATGATCTTTAATAGTTCAATCAATGTTGCAATAGCATTAATTTTTGTATCTTTTTTCATCCTCTTTGTACAAAAAAGTTGCAATGTTATTGTCCTTTAGAATAAAATTGACAAGCACAGTGCATATCTTAGTTTTTTCCTATTCATTTGTCAAAATCCCTCTTAACTAGACCCTAAAATTAATGTAGAAGAGTTTTGAAGCCTTCGAGGGCTGGTCTTGAGAGTTGTATATGGTTAAACAACATTAGAAAATAAGTGACCTCTTTAACAGCCAACAGGCTTGTTATATTGTACAGGAAACCTCTCTAGATCTTAATATTTTCTTCCCAAGTATGTGCACCAACAAGAGAGTGTCAAACTAAACAAATAATAAAATTCTATCGATATTTCCATGGAAATGTTATAATATAGAATTATGTGTTCTTGATTACTGGTTCATTTTTTATACAAAGGATTGGATGATAATAGTGCATGTGTGCAGCATGTTCATAACATCATATATCATAATAGCAGATCAAGAGATACAATTAGGAAGACAAATAGTATCTATCATTCACGCTCTCTAATATATAATAAGTTTGATAGCATGAACTTACGAAACACCAAGATTAAGAATGTCTTCAACACAAACATCACCTTTTTTCTCAAACCCACACCTGTTCTACAGAGGAAAGGAAAAAATAAAACCACAAGGCACCATTATACAATAAATCTAGTTTACCCAAGCTTCAAATGAACGGGACCAATGTCTTGCATATTGATCCACAAATAAAGTTCTAAACTTACAGGATTGAACTTGATTGCAGTGACCTGTTGAATCTCTGCTTCTAAAAGAATGCCAACATCGACAAGTTCCTTTAGCTCTTTTCTAGAGATATTCCATTCTTGTTCCCTCTGATAAAAGTACCAATAAAAAATGTGCATATGATAATTATAAGATTACAGCCAATTAAATTAAGAACCTCTATAATGAATTGGTGCGTACCCCCTTAATGAGGTTTCTTTCAACAATGCCAACACGGAGGCCCTTCAAGACTAAAGCGGTGGCAATAAAGATGCCCAAAGTACCTCCACAAACTAACACATCAAACATGCAACTGGAGTTGTTAGCCAGATCAGAGTGGTAGGTTGAACCACTAAACTGGGAAACAACTTCCTGGATTTCCTTAATTTCTGAAAGAGAATGGACAAATAGTTGTCAGAATCTTATTTAAACTTCCATCCACAATGATCCATCACTGTATTTTACCTTCATTTTATTAAGTTGCGAAGAAATACCATTTCCTTTTTCCAGTCAATAGTAGTAAGTATGAAATCACATGATGAATTTGCTGTCTACTGTTGAGACTTAATTATGATCATAATACGAAAAAAACTTGTATTTCTGAAAGTCTTGCTTAAGAAAAAGAAATACTGTCTGATGCTTGAAGCCCTATAATGAGTATGAGCGAATATCAATTTTGAAGTAGAGTGAGCATAAACATCGCATGACTAATATAGGGTTTCAGCTTTAAGAAAGAAAGAGAATAATATGGAAGAAGAGAAAAAGAAATAGCAATGACAATAATTCATGAAGATGAGTAAAAAGTAGAGAAATCACAAGAAAATGGAAATTTTGTGCGCGCGTGTTTTTTCTTTCTTTTTTTTTTTTGGTTGGGGGTTGGGGGATTAAATGGAGGTTGGGCAAGAATAGTATAATTTTCGACAGAGTAATAACACCATGAAAAAAAATTGATTGTGATCTACACATCAAACTTTGCCATAACAAATAGTAAGCAAAGAACATTAATAAAGATTTACAAAGTACCTGGTGAAGTGTTACATATATTAGACCACAGTTGGTCTAATCTTTTCAAGCCACTGTATGAGTTAGAGCCTCCAGCGCCACCAACTTCACTACTTGTTGAAACCCTCTCCATTATTCCCTACAAATTGTCATAACTCTTCTAAGTCTTCTCCGAGTTTCAATTATAAATTCACAAAAGGTAGGAATAGAATGACTGGATAATAATAAAACGTAAAAATTACCAAGCAATTTTGTCGGAAAATTGATTAAATACTGATTGTGCCAGCTTAGAAGGCATTATGTCTCTGAAAGGGCTAACTCTAGACACTGAATGAAGTTGATGTATATATCTATTTTCTTCTATTTAGTTTCTTTAAAGGCCTTACTTTTTGTTTTCTTGCAGATGATTTGTGCAGGACGTTCTGTTTCTAAATTTGTGATGAGTAGCACCACTGTAGGCTTATATCAGGAAGATAGATATTCAGCTGAGTATATTTTGATGGAGGTTTGAGATGTATCTCCTAGTAGATAGATTGTGTTGCTGCCATTCTGTTAATTACATAAACTAGAGAAGGAATCAGCTAATTATTTGAAGAGGTTTCTATTCTAACTAGGATTTATGCTGTTTATTCATCCTGAACCATGCTTTATTCTCCTATTTGAGAATGGAATCAAGTGGCTCCATTTGTCAATGTAGTAGTTCATCACTAGAACCAATCAAGTGAGTATGCATCTTATCAGATGCAACAACTGAAATCTAAATTTTAAAACACCTAGCTCAAAATATCCATCTCAGAATTTATGCATTTTCTAATCTCCTCAATTAAAACAAGCAAACCTAAATGCACCTAGCAGCCAAATCCATAGTAGCAAAAAAATAAGAACTTAGTCCGGCTGTTAATGTAAATTTATAGGCAACCACAGCATTATAACTAGAAGATGCTTTCTTCTTCTTTTCTTTTTCTTTTTTTTACTATACAACTATTAAATACTCCTTTATTTTACTACCTACGTAAGGATCCCACCATATACCTCAATTATTGTAGAGAGCATGTCTACTTTAGCGATCCCATCGCCTTTCTTACATACCCCAAATGATTCTCACCATGCAATACAATAATAAGTTGAAGACGCTTTTTAAAATATACCCTTCAAAAAATAGGTTTAAGATGAGCTCCTAGCCTCTAATGTTTCCATTGAGTTACGAATTCGAAAGTTTGAAGTCCATATGCATAGATGGTATTTGAAAGCTTTCATGCACGCACATATGAAGTTCAATACATGCTTATTCTCTCAAACTCTTTTCACCCTTTATCAAATTAGAAAGCACTTCATTGTAGATAAGGCATTCTAAATGTCATCCTATAGTTCGGTTGTTCAATTGTACATGTGATCTACTTGCAATGCAGGTACAATATATGCGCCTATGTCAAGGAATTTTGCTTTATCCAAAATTTTCCAAATCGGTAACTTTAGCATCTAATACATTGGCACATTTGAATAGACCAATTTTCCAATTTTGACCAAATGTACATCACTGCAGAAACTACATAAAAATGAAAATAAGAGAAACCCCAGTTAAAGATATATGTGGATAATATACAAATATCCTAGCAATTCCAATTTATTTAAATTTGTCACATTTGAACTGATTAAGCCAAGTCACAAATGTATATACCCTTCAAGCATGAGCTAAGTAAATTATTCATATTTTACGAAAATGAATCGACAAGAAAAAATAAGAAAACCCCAGGTTGAAAAAGATGAAACAAAACCCCTCACAATATAATTTTAAAAAAATTGAAAATAGGCTTACTTGGGTCCTGCTAGAGGAGGGAAGTGCGGCACGTGAGGAGAGTGCTCGACGAGTTCGCACGCGCGGAGGAAGGAGAGGACGAGAGACGCAGGACACAGCGGTTTGTAGGGTTTGATGAAGGGGGAGAGACATGGGGATAGCTCGATTTAAAACGTTCTCTTAACCGTTCAATTTTCGCCTTTTCATACATAGTAGCTTCACACGTTTGGTGGTTTTTTGGATTTTATAGATAAAGCCATCTTCTTCTCTCTCTTTTTTTATCCCTCTTCTTTTTAATAATAGATTTTATATAAAAATATGCTTACTATATGCCGTTTTAGTATGCATTCTTTTATATAAAATCTGTTTACAATATTAATGGTTTTACTTTGTATTATAATTTTAAAGACATTTTAATCTTATTTGCTGTTAAAACGTGTTGTGCATGTCTTTTGTTTTATGGCATGTTTGGATGGAGGGTAGAGAGGAGGAAGGGAAGGGAAATTTTATTTTAATATTGTTTGGGAGTTTCATTTAGGAGGGTAGAAGAGGGGAATTGAAGTAAAATTTAGCCCAAATTTTTACACCCCAAATTCGGGTGTAATGGAGGGGAAGGGAAGGAAGTGGAATTTTTTCCCTTCCTTCCCCCTCCTTCCCTTGCCTAAGTAAACTCCCAAACACACCATAATAGTAATTGGTGCATAATACATATGAAAAGGAAAAGGGAGAAGAAGAAGAAGCAGCACTCCACCCACCACGGGTGATTCAGATAGTTAGGAGGTTCTAATATAGTTGACACGTTCTTGGGTTCGATTCGAGCTAGGTTATTTATAAAAATATATATAATAATACATTGGGAGGGGATAAAGAGCAAAAATTAGAAGGGGAAAAAAGACTAATAAGGCTCTAAAATGTTAGGTTGTAGTCCGTACAATAGCTTTTGTTTAAGTAATAACAAACTATCATTTAGTATTAACATTTATTTAAGATGATATAATACTGTTTTCGTCAAGAGTTGCTCTTATTGTGGAATTCATTATATCTTCAGTCGATTACAATAAATTCAAAGGAATAGTCTTTTTATAAGACCTTTTTTACACAACAAAATGAAAATTACAACTTCTTAGAAACAAACGCAGAATCGTTGTTTGGATCGCTGATTGCGTGGGATCTTTGCCTGTGCCGGGAGCGCTTTGACTCGTGGACCACCAAATCACAGATTCTGATTGAACCGTGAGGGGTTTAATGATTCTTCCTTCGTTTATCGAAGTAAGAATTTGAAGCGAATATCTTATCGATGTAAGATGTTCACTCTTCCAAAGATCAAGTCTGAGCTTAGATCTCTAGGACTCGCTAGAAGCTTCTTGAGGATGTTTGTGAAGAAGGAAGACTCTCTCTCTTGCTCTAATTCACCAAAACTCAAGGCTCTCTGCTCTAATCTCTCTGTAAAATGCTCAGCCTCTCTAAATGATGGCCATAGGGGGGTATTTATAGCCTCCTTGGACAATAACTGAAGAAATAGCCGATCAATGACTATCCCTTTGACCGCGACCCCCCGGACTGCAGCGGCTATTGGCGCGGCAGCATGGACTGCAGCGGCTATTGGCGCGGCAGCATGAACTGCAGCGGCCACAGGGGCAGTTACCAGCACGTTCCATCGTGCTTGAAACTGTCCTCCCACGACTTTTAACCACCTTTTTCGTGGTTTAACTGCTTGTACACGTCAGCACACGTTCTATTTCTGATACGCCGCCACGTAGACTTCACATAATCATCACATAACTACCTCGTAACCGCTGTAGCATCCCCTATAGTAGCCGCGGCACCATGGATTGCCGCGCCCAAGCCGCGGCACTATGAACTGCCGCGTCTTAGCCGCGGCACTATGAGCTGCCGCGCTGTAGCCGCGGCACCATGAGCTGCCGCGCCCACACGCTGTAGTTTGCATTGTTCTGTGAATTCACATTGTTTTATGTTGATTCACAGATCCTTTTGCTTCCTTTGGGCTTGTATGATCTCCCATGACTTAGATACTGATGTTTATCACCTTCTCTTTGTCTTGAGTGATATTTGGATGTCTGTAAGCATTTTTGACGTCTACAGATACCCCCTCCAAAGTATCACAGACTCATCATTTTGAAGAGGAGTCTGGGACACTTTGGATATGATAAGTTTTCCTTGCAATTTCTTTAGTACTTGGTTGAGGAAATTGCGTAGAACGGTTTGTGAATGGCTTCAATCCTTGACTTCTTCATCTTTTAGCCTATTCAGCGCTTTGTAGAATAGCTAAAATTCCTCTGGTGCTGCGTTTATCGCGTGACCATTGTTGAAGTCTTGAATTTGAACTGCCGTCGAAGAATAGAGAAATAGTTTATACTCATATGCTCTATAGTGTAACCTCATATACCCGTTGGGAGGTAATCAGGTTATTCTTAAGAATATTTTGAGTAATATTCTCCAGAAACTTCCTGTTGAGATTAGGAAAATAGTTTAGACTCGTATACCTATTGGAGTAGTCTGGTCTCTTTTTTGTTGGTAGAGATGAACCCGATGATGGAGAGGAAGAATTTTATATTCTATCTCCTGGTCTCTTGTTTGTTGGTAGAGATGAACCCGATGATGGAGAGGAAGAATTTTATATTCTATCTCCTGGTCTTAGGGAAACAGTTTAAACTCGTGTACCTATTGGAGTATTCAGGTCTCTTTTTTGTTGGTAGAGATGAACCCAGAATCGGAGAGGAAGAATTTTATATTCTATCTCCTGGTGTAAAGGAAACTCGAAGTGGGATCTCCACTTAGAGAATCTAGATTGGTTTGAATAATCCTAACTGTCATAAGGTTTGACTATTCAACTCAAAAGTGGACCTCTCGTTCGTGGAAGGAATCGAGAAGAGACTTTGGTTGTGGTCCTAACTGTAGTAAGGTTTGACCAAGTTGGAGTTTTGAGACGATCCTAACTGTTTAAAGGTTTGATCGTTCAGTTTGTGGACCTCTCGTTCATGGAAGGAATCGAGAGGAGATTTTAGGTTTGGTCCTAACTGTTTAAAGGTTTGATCGAGATGAGAATTTGAGACGATCCTAACTGTTTAAAGGTTTGATCGTTCAATTTGTGGACCTCTCGTTCATGGAACGAATCGAGAGGGGATTTTGGTTTTGGTCCTAACTGTTTAAAGGTTTGACCATGTGGGAGTTGAGACGATCCTAACTGTTTAAAGGTTTGATCGCTCAATTTGAGGACCTCTCGTTCATGGAACGAATCGAGAGGGGATTTTGGCTTTGGTCCTAACTGTTTAAAGGTTTGACCAAGATGGGAATTTGAGACGATCCTAACTGTTTAAAGGTTTGATCGTTCAATTTGTGGACCTCTCGTTCATGGAACGAATCGAGAGGGGATTTTGGCTTTGGTCCTAACTGTTTAAAGGTTTGACCAAAATGGGAATTTTGTGAGGGAAGATTGATCTAAAGAGGTGATCGAATCTCATCTCAGCAAAAGAGTATTCGGAAGTCATAGTAGGAGTTTAGTGTTTATCACTTTGTTCATAATGATCAGGGTTATCCCTAAGAATATTACATTTAACATTCTTCCGGGAACTTCCCGTTACATGAATTATCCACCCCCAGCTTCCTTTGTGAAACCGGGTTTAACATTGTACTCAGTTGGATAATCGAGAAGCAGTTTATACTCATATACTATTTGGAGTGTGGGGAAACAGTTTATACTCATGCACCCACTGGAGTTGAATGGTCGTCTTTACTCGACTTCTTTCGTCGTTATGACGCCGGAGTCAATTAGGGCTTGGATCCTGTTTTTAAGTCCAAAGCAAACCTCAGTGGGATGAAGAACCCTTCTGTGGTACGTACAGTAGTTTGGATCCGTAATCATTTTAGCACCATCCTGATCTTTAATAGGTGGTAGCTCGATTTTGTCATTGGCGAGGAGGTATTCCAAGATGGCTGGAGCTTCATCATCTTCGAAAGAATACTCCTTTTGAAACCTCGGATCGGGAGTCGCATTCTCAACGATTGCAGATGTCATTGGTTGGCCTCTCTCAGTTTTCTTTCTTTTAAGAAAGTGCTCAGCTTGTTCACCCCGAGATTTTAACTCCTTCCAAGTTTTGGATGGTACGACCCCCAGAGCTTCCAGGACATCGATAGAGAGATTATTATAGCATGTTTGCAGAATGAACTCCTCTGTAACAGGATCTCTGCAATTCATTGCCTTGTTACGGAAGCGCTTGACAAAATTGTCAACTGACTCTTCGTCTTTTTGCTTCTCATCCAAAAGGGTTCCGATTGACACTTCGGTGTCATCATCGAAGAAACTGCTGAGGAACAAACTTTCTATGTCATCCCAGCAATTGATACTCTCTGGCTTGAGTCGTCGATACCAATCGAAGGCGGGCCCACGAAGGGTGCCAACGAATGACCGGACCATTAAAGCCTCGTTTCCAGAGATCATGCCCAAATAAGACTTGAAATAAATCAAGTGCTGAATCTCCCTTCAAACGGTGTGAAGTTAATCAGATTGAATTTGGTCGGGTATGGTATTGAATCCCATTCCCTCGGATAAGGACATGGAATACCCGTCTTCTTAACTTCTTGAGCCGTCATCAAAGCATTGATTTTGTCTTCAAGTTTTTGCATTTTCCCGTCATCGTCTTCATTTCTTTCTGAATGATGTCGAGTAAAGATAATTGGACCACCCCCAGTGAGAGGTGCTATTGAACCACCCCCAATATCGTTATTGGGAGGATCCGTTAAACCACCCCCAGCGTTATTGTCATTGGGAGGTGTATCAGCCATAATGACTTCATCCACCTCTGGATCACTGTCCTCTACAACATTCCGAGTGTGGTGGCTGGATTCAAGTCGCTGATTGGACTCAGGAGGTTGAGGCTGTTGAGTTAACAGTTCTCTCATTTGTTGGATAGCCAACTTCATTTCTGTCTTCACTTCAGCTCTAATTTCTTCACGTTGTTTGGCTAGAGCTTCCTGAAGTATTTGAGTGAACTGATCAGCAGTGATTGTGAATACTTCTCTAATTTGTCCTGTGCTAGACATTGTATCATCAGAAGCGATTGCAGAATAAGTGTCCGAGAATTCATCCTCCGAGGACATTCCTTCTTGCATTCTCTTGTAGTCTCTGCGTCTGATAGCTCCTAATTGGAGTCGAGACATCCTTTGAGCAATTCTTGGATTGACTTTTCCTTTCGGGGAAAAG